TATTTTACAGTTTTTTAACTGACAGCATTATGTTTCTCAAAGCTGGTGGATTTAGGAAATGGGTTTTCATATCTGAGGATTTTCATCTCATAGCTTCATTATTAAGTGGTTATGACTCCTAAGTCTTGGCTGGCCACTACATGCCTATGTAATCTTGGGCAAGTCACTGAATCCCCACTCTCCTGTCTATAAAACTGAGTTAACAAAAGGGAGTCACTCTTAAGAATTATTATGTGGATTAAGTGAGATAATGAATGGAAGGTGCATTACACAGATTCTGGCACACAGTAGACTTTTGATTAATGCTAGTCATCATTACCATCCTTTGCTGGTTTTACTACACAAGATAGATAGATCTTCAGATAGTTACAAACTTTAATCTCTAGTATTAGCACTACATTCTTGAACTTGAAAATATTAGCTTCTATGTGCCACTTTGTCTCCACCTTTGAATTGGAAATATGATGCTTTCCTCATAAGGGATCTATGTATTTTAAAATGATTATCTGAACAATAAAGGGTGTTTGCCAATTTCTTGTTTGAAGATGGACAGGATTAAGTGCTATATAGTCATTACTGTTGTTATTTCTATCAAAGCATCAGGCAGTTAAGGAAAAGGATCATAATTGGACCTATCCACACACTAATTACAATAATTAGTTTCCTATTGTACATCATACTTTTAAAAATATAGTCATTCTCTTGCTTTATCTTATGGTGTCTTTTGGTCTGAATAAGCATTTAAGGTTATGACCTAGAAAGAAGTCATCTGTGAGATAGACTAAAAATCAGACCTCAAGAGGAAATGATACAAAAGTGGAAAGAAATCATAGTTCATCATCTGGGGTGGAAATTTTTAGGGAGAGACTCTTAGTAATTTTACTGGCTGGCTCATGTTACCAGATTGTTCAAGAGTCTGGAGGAATGGAGAGGAGTTACTCAAGCTTGATTGATTAAGGCTGATTGGTCAGCCTTCTCCATTTTTCCTTCAAAGTCATTATAAAGGAATATTGTTTAAAATTTAAGAATACCACAATCTTGCCATGCTTTTTAATGTTTTAAATTCAACCAACATCTGCTGAGTACCGATAACTAGTAACAAAGCCTCATTCCCAATGCTGCGAGGAAACTGTTTTCCTAATGGGCTTGTAGTCTGCTCTTAGAGGAAACATGGGAAGAACAACAAGGTGGAGTGAAAGCAGTGCTATGAGAAACGGAGGTCCAGATGGTGGGAACTATGTGGAGGAACCATTATTTTTAAATGGAAGGATGTAGGAAGACTTTTAAGTAAAAGGTGACATTCAAACCAACCCTTAAAGGTGGAGTAGAATTTGAGGCAAAGGCTTATTCAGCAGATGTTTTAGGTCGTAAAAACAAGGTGAATAAAGGTAAAAAGTTGTGAAAGTGTGTGGGGAGCAGCACGCAGTGCACAGTGTTTGAAGCAAAGAACTCCTGGTTTAGTGTTGGAAAGTCAAATATGGAAAAGGCAGCTTGAAAACAATTCTTCAAAAAACTTTGAATTTTATGGGGTTAGGCTTTATTCAGTAGATAGTAGGAAGCTAGTGGACATTCTGGAGGAGAGGAGGAACTTTATATGATCCATTCTGGAAGGTATCTTTTCTAGTGAAGAATTAAAGAGGTGAGAGATTCTAGGTGAGGAAGCCAGTGATAAAAACCAGGAATTCTCAGCTATTGAGAATAATAGATACTAGATATTGATATATTAATTATGACTATCATATTAATTACTATTATTATAATATAGCAATAATATAAGTGCTTTATAGAATTTATTTATTTAATTTTTACAACCATCCTGGAATGTAAGTAATATAATCTTCATTTTAGAGATGAAGACATTGGAGGGCTACAAAGATTAATTAATTGTTCAAGGTCATGTTGGTATAGGTAGTGGGGTCCACCACCTATAGTGAAGTGGGACTGGAAATAAGGTGATGGAAAAAATATTTAAATTCAGTGACTGAATGTGGGAGGTAAAGAGAGAGAGGGAGAAATTGAAGATGACTCTTGTTGGGCACCCTTACTGAAGGTAGGAAGTATAATCAAGTAAGTTTGTGAATAATAAGTAAGGAATTCTGCTTTGAAAGGTTGAATTTGAGATGGTGGCAGGGCCAGCCTGGTGGAAGTGTGGAGATGGTTATTGGGAGTAGAGTGTGGAGGTGAAATAGTCTGAGAGTAATGTGGACATTTGGTGAGAAGGGACGCTTTGGGAGAGGGTGCAGACAAGGAGAGGCTGAAGAGAGAGTGCTGTCATCTGAGAAGAGAACTGGGGAAGGAAGAATCAGAAAGGTCTGGGGAAGCCAAAATGTGAAAGAGTAGTGAATAAGAACCCCAGGATAAAGGGGACTTAAGAAACAATGGGTGGGAAAAAGAATACTTTGGCTGGGTGTTCAGTTGGTTAGAGCCTCCTCCCGATACACCAAGGTTGCAGGTTTGATCCCTGGTCAGGGCACATAGAATCGACCCATGAATGCATAGGTAAGTGGATCAACAAATTGATGTTTCCCCCTTCTCTCTCTCCCTCCCTCTCTCCCTCCCTCCCTCTTTCTTTTGCTTTCCCATCTTCTCTGTCTCTCTAAAATCAATCAATTAAAAAAAAATGGGTGGTAAATAGGTAACTGACCAGAGAGGGAAGAGTGTGGGATTTTGCTTTATTTGGTAAGCAGAAGTCCACAGGCAGTTTTTGAAAAACCAAACCCAAACCCAAACCAATTTCTGTCTAGTAGAGTGATCAGGAACTTAATGTCAGGGGCTGAGGAATGAGTGCGTGGCAGGAATCTGCTGGAGTGCAGGGGATAAAGGGGGTTCTTTATCGGGGTGAGAGGAGTCCTTAGGCTGAGGGAATATGGCAGTAGAGGGAGATTTTATTTTATTTTTTAAGAGTAAATGATAATTTACTGGCTATAGTTCCAGAGTTCAATAAAGAGATGACCAGAAGACAGACAGGGAAGCTGGCAAAGAAAAGGAGTAAGGGTTGTTTTTTTTTCCTATGACAGAAGAGAAACGAGAAAAAGAAAATGGATGGGAACATCCTAAATAGTAAAATCTAATAGAGAAAAGTTGAGAATACTATTTTCTTTTAAAAATTATTTTATTGTTGTTCAATAAAATAATTACAGTTGTCTGCATTTACCCCCTTCACTCCCCACCACCCCAGCCAAACCCACCGCCTTCCCTCCCTTGCTTCCACCCCCCTCCCCCTGTTGGTTTTGTCCATGTGTCCTTTATAGTGGTTCCCGAAAGCCCTTCCCCCCATTATCTCCTCCCACCTCCCCTCCTGTTACTGTCAGATTGTTCTTAATTTCAATGTCTCTGGTTATATTTTGCTTGCTTTGAGAAAACTATTTTCTGATCATCTATTTCTCAGGGAGGCCTTAGTGGCATTCTATAATATGTTTTATTTTTTCAGAGAGCCCTGTATTTTTCCTTCAAAACATTCATCACACGTACCACACTTGTTCAGCATCTGATTTCATGATTAGATTGCAATCTACTCTTTTAAGAGGTCAGTCAGATGTCCGTCCTGTTCCCTGCTGAGCCTCCAGTCCATAGAAAGAACTGCATGCTTGGCGCATAGCAGAGCTCCCAAGATATTTCACGTGTTAATATTGGACAACATCACAGATTATCTCTCTGCTTTTGCAGTGTTGCAAAATGCCTGACACACAATAAACACTTCACTCGTACTTGCTAAATGAATGATTCTTCTCAGTGAAATAGGAAGTGAGTTCATCTTTTGAGATGATAATAACTAAAACACTTTGAGTTCTGCCTGGGTGCTAGGCACTGCATTAAGTACTTTTATGCTAGCTGCTGTAGCAAATAAGCCACAGAGTTGCAGTGGTTTGCATAACAGAAGTTCTTACTAACTCTATAAAGTGGCTGCTCCTGTCAGAGAGACAGATTCCTTCCAGCTTCCAGTTCCACCAGCTCTAGGTCCTGCGATGGGGGAAGAGGATGAGAATAAGTTACCTGACCCCATAAGGGCTAGGATGCCACTTCCTAGGGACAACTCTATATATTATGGATATGGGGACAGGAATTTTGGTGGACACTTAGCCATCTCTTCCACACATGAGCTCCTTACCTTTTACAATGGCCCTATGAAGGAGGCACTGTTATCCCCATTTCACAGATAAGGCTACGGAGGCTTATACCTGTCCTAAACACTAAGGCTCTGATTTGGGATTTAAACTTTGGTCTATCAGACCCAATAGCCTCTATTCTTTTGCATGCATTTGTTGTTTCCTATATGTGCCCTGACCTGGGATTGAACCCACAACCTTGGTATATTGGGATAATGCTCTAACCAACTGATCTCCCTGGCCAGGACACAGTAGCCTCTATTTTTAACCACTAGACCAGTGTTTTTCAAGTGGAAGCAGTTTTGTCCCTAAGAGACAAGAGGACATTTGGCAATGTCTTTTTTGGGGGGAAAGGGTAGGTACTACTGACATCTAGTGGGTAGAGGCCGGGAATGCTACTAAACATTCTAGAATGAACAGGACACCCGTAGCCCCCAACATACATACACAAAACAAAAAATTACCAGGCCCAAAATGTCAGTAGTGCCAAGGTTGAGATATTCTGAACTAGACATTATCCATCATGGTAGAAAGTAAGGTCGAAGCCAGACATGGCTGAAAAAGATTAGGAACAGGTGCTGTGAGGAATAAGCTAAATGTTAATTATGAAAGGGTATAAAGGATTGGCAAATAACAGAAAGGTGCTGGTGGTTGATTAATGTGGAAGAAGGTAAATGGTTCTATTATTTTTCTATTGTCTACCTGGCATTTCAGGGTCTTTTATTTATTTTTTATTATTTTTAATTTTAATTTTAATTGTTGTTTAAGTACAGTTTTCTGCCTTTTACCCCCATCCCAGTGCACCATTTCTGGGTCTTGATAGTATTTTTGAAGTTGTCTGTATTTTATTGGGTGAAAATATTATCCTTTAAACCATTTTGTTTCTGAACTCAGGGAGACAAGACTCGTCCTTTTATCACATCCAGTCCTACAAATGGAGCCAAATCTGTTGCAGAAGGCTGGCTCTCTGCCAACCCATATGACAAGCATTTTGGTGACGTACATTTTTATGACTATACCAGTGATTGCTGGAATTGGAACATTTTCCCAAAAGCTCGATTCGCATCTGAATATGGATATCAGTCCTGGCCTTCCTTCAGCACATTAGAAAAGGTAAGCCACTCTCGATTTCACAGTGATTCAGAACAGTGGGCTGTGGGCATATTCGTGACTATGCCCACTACTGTGGAGGTACTTCTTTCACTACCTCCAAAAAACCAAATGAAATCTAACTGTTATTTTAAATTATTTTTAGGAGGAAGATAATAGAATATAAGTTTTTTTCTTTAACCTTTGGGGAGTTAAACTCTTGTAGTCATCATTTTAGGGATTATACCTTTTCTATGTTACTTTATTTGTGTTCCTTCAGGAGCTCTTACGATTTAAATGGGAGCCAACAGCTGCTTAAACCTGATATATTATTACACATGAAAATAACTCTCACTTGCCACTTTCTGTATATCCTACAACTTTTAAAAATCATTTACAGATATTCACAATGGGATCGTTTACTACAGCAAGAGAAATGAATGTGATAAGTCTGTCTAATGTTATCACGTCACATTCATTTCTTTTCTCTCTTCTCATTCCTTCTCTTCTTCCTCCTTCTTTTTCTTCATGTTGGTGTATTTGATTTTCAGTATGGCATTTCACTTTCTCTGTTCCTGATGATTAACTTTCGTAGATGGATTCAGTTTTAGAATTGTATTGTTCTTTTTAAAACAACTGCAGTGAAATGTAATTCGGTGACCATATAAGGCACCAATTTCACGTGTGCAGTTTAATGGTTTTCAGTATGTTCCCAGAGCTGTGCGCCATCTATATGATCTAGTTTTAGAACATTTTTATCACCCCCAAAGAAACTCTGTGCCCAGGAGCAGCCACTGCCCACTTTCTCTGCCCCTCCCACCCCAGCTCTAGGCACTATTAATCTGCTTTGAATATCTATATATTTGCTTGTTCTGCCCATTTCATATATATATATATAAAATTGTAATAATGAAATACAAATACATGATTATTTGAGACTGGCTTCTTTCACTCAGCATAATTTTAAAAAAATATTTTATTGATTATGCTATTAGAGTTGTCTCATTTTTTCTCCCCTTTATTCCCCTCCATCCTGTATCCCCACTCCCACCACCATTCCCACACCTTAGTTCATGTCCATGGATCATACCTATAAGTTCTTTGGCTTCTCCATTTCCTGTACTGTTCTTAACCTCCCCCTGTCTATTTTGTACCATTTATGCTTCTTATTCCTTATAACTTTTCCCCCATTTTCCCCACTTCTGCTCCCCACTGATAACTTTCCATGTGATCTCCATTTTTGTGAATCTGTTACTGTTCTACTTGTTCATTTAGCTCATTTTTGTTTTTATTTTTTTAGTTTTGGTTGTTGCTAGTTGTGAGTTTGTTGTCATTGTACTGTTCATATTTCTGACCTTCATTTTCTTGCGTAAGTCCCTTTAACATTTCATATAATGGGGGCTTGGTGATGATGAACTCCTTTAACTTGACCTTATCTGGGAAGCACTTAATCCTCCCTTCCATTCTAAATGATAGCTTTACTGGATAGAGTACCCTTGGATGTAGGTCCTTGCCTTTCATGTCTTGGAATACTTCTTTCTAGCCCCTTCTTCCTTGTAAGGTTTCTTTTGGGAAATCAGCTGATAGTCTTATGGGAACTCCTTTGTAGGTAGCTGTCTCCTTTCTTCTTGTTGCTTTGAAGATTCTCTCCTTATCTTTAATCTTGGGTAACTTAATGATGATGTGCCTTGGTGTGTTCCTCTTTGGGTCCAACTTCTTTGGGACTCTCTGAGCTTTCTGGACTTCCTGAAAATCTATTTCCTTTGCCAGATTAGGGAAGTTCTTCATTATTTTTTCAAATAAGTTTTCAGTTTTTTTCTCTTCCTCTTCTTCTGGCACCCCAATGATTTGGATGTTGGAATGTTGGAATGTTTAATGTTGTCCTGGAGGTTCCTAAGCCTCACCTCATTTTTTTGAATTCTTGTTTTTTCATACTGTTCTGGTTGAATGTTTATTTCTTCCTTCTGGTCCAAATCATTGATTTGAGTTCCAGTTTCCTTCCTGTCACTGTTGGTTCCCTGTACATTTTGCTTTATTTCACTTTGCATAGACATTACTTCTTCCTCTATTTTGCGACCATACTCATCCATTTCTGTGAGCATCCTGATTACCAATGTTTTGAACTATGCATCTGATAGGTTGGCTATTTCTTAATAACTTTGTTGTATTTTTTTTCAGGAGCTTTAATCTGTTCTTTTATTTGGGCCATATTTTTTCATCTCAGCATGCCTGTTGTGTAGGAAGGGGCAGCACCTTAGGTATTTGCCAGGGCAGGACAATCCACATCGCTGGGTTGTGGCACTGTATGTGGGGGATGGGTCTGAGAGGGAACCATGCAGCTTGCTTGGCTCTCAGCTGGTTTTCAGTCACTTCCTCCACCACTCATAAGCAAATTGGGCCCTTCTGGTGCTGATTTCCAGGTGGGTGGTTTTGTGTACATTCTAGAACCCTATGGGTCTCTATAATTTACTCTCCTGTGAGGCTGGGAATTTCTCCTCCTGCTGCAACCCCCACAGGTTTTTTCAATCAGAGGCTTTGAAGCTTTATTTCCCCACACTGGAACCCTGTGTTGTGGGGTCTGTCTCACTCACTAGTTGTTCCTCCTGGTGTACCACATGCAAATGTGGGACTGCCCACTCTGCCAACTGCCAACTTGTCTGGGCCCCCAGCCACCACCTTGCTGCAAGTCCTCTCCACCCCTTCTACCAGTCTGGATGAATGTATCTTCTTTAACCCCTTGGTTGTCGGACTTCCATATAGTTCAGTTTTTTGGCAGTTCTGTGTTTTTGTGTTTTTAAATTTGTTGTTGTCCTTCGTTTGGTTGTGTGAGGAGGCAAAGTATATCTACCTATACCTCCATCTTGGCTCACTGACTTAGCATAAATTTTTCAAGTTTCATCCATGTATCATTTATTAGTATGTCATTTTTCATTTATTTTTAATTTTTATTTTAATTGTTCAAGTACATTTTCTGCCTTTTACCCCCATCCTAGCCCACCCCTCAGCCCTCCCCACCTCCATTCCATTTCTACCCCCCCTTGTTATTGTCCATGTGTCCTTTATACTTGTAGGAACAAACCCTTCACTCTTTTCCCCTGAAATTCCCTCCGCTCACCACTCTGTCAGCCTGTTCTCAATTTCAGTGCCTTTGGTTATACTTTGCTTGTTTGTTTGTTGGTTTGTTTGTTTTGTTGATTAGGTTCCTGTTAAAGGTGAGGTCATATGGTATTTGTCTTTCACCACCTGGCTTATTTTGCTTAGCATAATGCTTTCCAGTTCCATCCATGCTGTCGCAAAGGGTAGGAGCTCCTTCTTCCTTTCTGCAAATGGACAAATGACTTAAACAGACATTTCTCCAAGGAGGGCATACAGAGGGTCCTGAGACATATGAAAAGATGTTCAGTATCGATAGCTATCAGAGAGATGCAAATTAAAACCACAGTGAGATACCACTTCACACGGATCAGAATGGCCATCATAAACAAAGCAACAAACAACAAGTGTTGGAGAGGTTTTGGAATATGTCACTCTTTTTAAAAGATCTTATTTATTTATTTTTAGAGAGAGGGGAAGGGAAGGAGAGAGGGAGAGAAACATCAATGTGTGTTTGCCTCTCGCATGCCCCCTACTGGGTACCTGGCCTGCAACATAGGCATGTGCCTTGACTGGGTATCGAACCAGTGACCCTTTGGTTTGCAGGCCAGTGCTCAATCCACTGAGCCACACCAGCCAGGGTAGTATGTCACTCTTTTTTATTCCTGAATAATATTCTGTTGTATGGATATACCACATTTTGTTTGTCCATTTATTATTTGATATATATTTGTGTTTTTTGCACTTTTTTGCTATTATGAATAACAGAGTTCTGACCATTTATACACCTGTTTTTGTGTGAATATCTGTTAAGTTTATATCTAGGATGGAATTGCTAGGTCATATGGTAATTGTATGTTTATCATTCTAAGGAACTACCAAACTGCATTCCATTGTGGTTCCACCATTTTACATTCTTACCAACAATGTAGAAGGGTTTCAGTTTTTCCACATTCTTGCCAATATTTGTTATTTCCCTTTTTTTGCATTTCCTTGGACGTTTATATATACAGGAAATTCGCATTTGTTTGGCAAATCATATTGATCATGTTTTCATGTGCTTGGTGTTCATTTATGTATCTTCCTTGGAGAAATATATATTCAAATCTTTTGCCCATTTTTTAATTGGGTTATTTGTGTTTTTATTATTGATATATATATCAATCTCTCTCTCTATATATATTCTGGATATGTTTCTATCAGATATATAATTTGTGAGTGTTTTCCCCAATTTGTGAGCTGTCTTTCTACTTACTGATGGTATCATTGAAAGCACAGACATTTTTAATTCTGATGAAGTCCTACTTATCCATCTTCTCATTTATTTCTTGTCCTTTTTGTGTTGTATCTAAGAAACCATGCCAACCTGGATCACAAAGGTTTACTTCAGTTTTGTGTTCCAGTTTTAGCTTTTAAATTTAGGTCTATGATCTATCCTGAGTGAATAACTGATGTGAGGCAGATGTCCAGGTTCATTCTTTTGCAGGTGAATACCCAGTTGACTGAACAATATTTATTGAAAACATTATTACTTCCCTCATTGAATTCTCTTGGCCCCTTTTTTTAAAAGATTTATTTTTGGGTTCTTAATTTTGTTCCATTGATTTGTTATGTCTGTTTTATGCCTGTGCACTGTCATGATTACTGTAGCTTTGTAGTAAATTTTGAAAGCAGGAAGTATGAATTCACCAACTTTGTCCTTCGTTCAAGATTGTTTTAACTGTTCTGGGTTTTTTGCATTTCCATATGAATTTTAGGATCACTTTACCAGTTTCTGCAGAAAAGCCACCAGGGATTTTGATAGGGATTGTGTTGAATATGTAGATCAGTTTGCAAAGTATTGCCATCCTAACAATATTGTCTTCTGATCTATGAGCATGTGATATCTTCTTTAATTTTTTGGTTTTTGGTGTACATGTCCTATACTTCTTTAGTCAAATTTATTCCTAAATATTTTATTCCTTTTGGTCCTATTTTAAATGAAATTGTTTTAATAATTTTCAGATTGTTCATTACTAGTGTTATAAAGATAGAAATTTTTTTGTATATTGAATTTATGTTTTACAGCCTTGTAGAACTCATTTATTAATGTTAACAGTTTTCTAATTTTTTAAAGGCACTTCTATATAAAAGAGCACGTCATCTGTAGATAGAGCTGGTAGTGTTTCTTCCTTTCCAATTTGGATGTCCTTTATTTACTTTTCTTGCCTAATTGCTCTGGCTAGGACCTACAGTAGAATGAAGAACAGAAGTGGTAAGATCAACCATTCTTGTCCCCTTTCTGTCCTTATGGAGAAAGCTTTCACTCTTTTACTGTTTAGTATGATGAACTGTTAGTTTTTCATAGATACCCTTTAGCATGTTGAGGCAGTTCCCTTTTATTCCTAGTTTGTTGAGTGTTTATACCATGAAAAAGTGTTGGGTGTTGTCTAATGTATTTTGTTCATCTATTGAAATGATCATGTAGTTCTTGGCCCCCTCTACTATCTCTTGTTTAAAGCAACCACAAAGTTTTAAAACTATTTCAAAATCTTCCTCAATTTCACCACCTGAACAGAAGTATATTTGCTTCTACATATCAAAGTCGTATTGTACTTTTAGCTTTAATATTTATGTTATAAGCTTAGTTTTGCACCCCCCCTTTTTTATTAGTCTCATATTGTGGGGCTGATCTTTTGGGAATGCTAGTATTTCAAAGTGAAGGAGGAAGGAGTTCAGTGTCCTCCTAGCAACAACTGTTGAGAATGGGAATGAAGGCAAGAAAGAAGCAAAAATATTTACCAAGCAGATGCTGTGTACCAAGAACTCATTGTTTTATTTGACACTATTCCACCCTCTTTCCATTTTGACTGAGGCCCAGAAGGGAACCAAAGCACTGGAGAGTGAGAGCTCTATCCATATTCCTAGGTAGTGAGTAATATATCTGGATTCAAACTTACTCTCAGACTCCAAAGCTGATGACTCTCTTTTCACTATATTTCAGAAAGGTTTTAGAAATTGCTAAACCTCTTTTGTAAATGTATAACCATTTCTATTTACCTCCTGAAAATAATGGAATTGCCTTGTTTTTGTACTATGTCTGATGATGTTCAAAGGTATGCATCACAATAGTTTAAAATAGGGAAAAATGTAGAGAAGTTCTGTTCATTATGAATCCTTTATTTAGTCACTGCCCCTTTTCAAGTGACATTGATTAGTTGAAGATTTCAATGAGTAATACGAAAATAAAAGAAACCAAAAGAATAGCTTTACATAAAAATTTTACTTTTTTATTTAGAGGTTTTGTGGTGTGTTCAACAAAAATATTTAAAAAGTCTCTCTCCAGTGTGAGATGTAAAATAATCATATTTTCAATGAGCAGTTATCAATTTTGCACAGTGATTAAAAGCTTGGACTTTGGAATAGACCGATCTGGACTTGAATCCTAACACTGCCCCACACTAGCTATATTGCCTTGGAAGAATTATTTACTCTATTGTGCCATGTATAACATGCACTTTTTTGCCCAAGTTTCAAGGGAAAAATAAGGATGCACATTATACCTGGGCAGTATCTGAAATACCTCGGATCTGTTCTTGTGTTTTGTAATTATTTGTTACATAAAATTTCTTGTACCATAATATGTTAAAAATAAATGCTAAAATTCCTTTATAATAAAAAAAATAAAAAAACCAAGTATCTAAATATAAATAAATAAAAAAATTGAAGTAAAAAATTAAAACAAAAGATTTTTTTCCCTGAAAGTTTAGGTCAAAAACGTAGGTGCACATTATACACCAGAGCACATTATACGTGGCAAGATATGGTAATCATTTTGAATTTCAATGTTCTTATTGGTAAATTGGGGTTAATAGTAGTAAATAACCTCTTGGGACTTTGTGTGTGTGCATGAGATCATGTGTAAAGGTTAAGTTAATTGATACATTGAAGCCTTAGCACAGTTCTTTTTTTTTAAATATATTTTATTAATTATGCTATTACAGTTGTCCTATTTCCCCCTTCTCTCCCCTCTACCCTGTACCCCCTCTCCCACCCACATTCCCCCCCTTTAGTTCATGTCCATGTGTCATACTTATGAGTTATTTAGCTTCTACATTTCCCGTACTATTCTTGCCCTCCCCCTATCTATTTTCAACCTACATTCTATGCTACTTATTCTCTATACCTTTTCCCCCTCTGTCCTCCTCCCACTCCCCTGTAGCTAACCCTCCATGTGACCTCCATTTCTGTGGTTCTGTTCCTGTTCTAGTTGTTCACTTAGTTTCTTTTGGTTTTGCTTTAGGTGTCGTTGTTAATAATTGTGAGTTTGCTGTCCTTTTACTATACATGTTTTTTCTTTATCTTCTTTTCTTAGTTAAGTCCCTTTAGCATTTCATAAAATAAGGGCTTGGTGATGATGAACTCCTTTAACTTGACCTTATCTGAGAAGCACTTTATCTGCCCTTCCATTCTAAATGAGAGCTTTGCTGGGTAGAGCAATCTGGGATGTAGGTCCTTGTCTTTCATGACTTGGAATATTTCTTTCCAGCCCTTTCTTGCCTGTAAGGTCTCTTTGGAGAAATCAGCTGACAGTCTGATGGGAACTGCTTTGTAGGTTACTGTCCCCTTATCTCTTGCTGCTTCTAGGATTCTCTCCTGCATTTTTACCTTGGCTAATGTAATTATGATGTGCCTTGGTGTGTTTCTTCTTGGGTCCAACTTCTTTGGGGCTCTCTGAGCTTCTTGGATTTTTTGGAAGACTGTTCCCTTTGCCAGATTGGGGAAGTTCTCCTTTATTATTTGTTCAAATACGTACTTAATTTGTTGCTTTTCCCCTTCCCCTTCTGGTACCCCTATAATTCAGATGTTGGAACGTTTAAAGGTGTCCTTGAGGTTCCTCAGCTTCTCCTCGTTTTTTTTTGAATTCTTATATCATGCTTTCCTGCTTGGTTGATTCTATCTTCCTTCTGGTCCACTGTATTGTTTTGAGACTCAGTTTCCTTCCTTTCACTATTGGCTGTCCTCCGTGTATCTTCCTGCATCTCTTTTATGGTAACCTGCATCTTTTCATGTAATTTGCGCCCAAAATCAACCAATTCCGTGAGCTTTCTGATCACCAGTGTTTTGAACTGTGCATCTGATAGATTGGCTATTTCTTTGTCGCTGAAAAGGATGAGTCCTGGGGGACTGATCTGTTCTGTTGGAAACATGTCTTTCCCTGTCTCTCCTTTTTTTTTTTCCCGGTCTGGTCACTCTTGTTACAGTGGGGGGCAGAGCCTTAGGTGTTCACCGGGGCTGGGCACCCCAGTCACTAGATTGTGACATTATATGTGGGGGCGGGAGCGGGGACAGAAGGGAACAATGGCGGTAGTTCCATTCTCCTGGGCTCAGACCCTTCTCTGGGATCCTGAGCTGCGAGCTCTGCCCTGGTCCACAATCGCTGCCTCACTGGGTCTGCCAGCCGTAGCTTGTGTACTCAGGGATCACTGCTGTGTTCTTGCGCCCCGGATGGCTGTCACGCCGATTTTGCGCCAAATTTTCCCTGACCTCCGTGCGCCGCTGACCCGCGCCAGCCCCGCGCCCACCCGGCTCGTCTTCTCCTACCAGTCTGGATGTACGGGTCTACTTCAACTTCTCGGCTGTCCGACTTCCCATTCAGATAAATCCTCTATCAGTTCTGGGTGTTATTCTGTCTGTAAATTATTGTTGTTCTAATCTTGGTTGTGCGAGGAGGTACGGTGTGTCCACCTATTCCTCCATCTTGCCGGAAGTCCCCTTAGCACAGTCTTGACACACAGTGAGAGCCCATAAGATGTAAGCTATTGTTACCATTCACCAAGGTCATTCTGGCCATGTGATTTGTTTTATTTTGTTCAGATGCATCTAGGTTTAAAGAGGGAGAGGCTTGAATTAGACTGCACAAATAGCTTTGAATCTTGGGCAAATTATTTAACCTTTCTGTGGTTGGTTTTCTCATCTATAAAATGAGGTGATAACACTGCCTACTCATAAGATTGTTATGAAGATTAATTTAGTTAGCATTCTTAAAGCAATCAGAATCCTACCTGGCACTTTCTGATTCCTTCTGGTGACATTGTTACAGTTGAAATTTGCAACACTTCCAAACCACAGCTGTCAGAAGGTAGAAAGTTTCCCACGTAACAGAAGATTAGGTTCACTGATTATGGGACACATTCAGATTACTGATGAGAGAGAGGGCTGAGAGGCCCAGAGGTGCATTTCCAGACTTTAAAAAGGAAGAATAATTTTTAAAAGGAACATTATTGGTAAAGATATGTGCATCTCAGGTGGGTACGGATGACTGATACTAATACCTCTATTTTAAATAAATAATAGGAGTAATATGTGTTCTCTAAACTGTCTGGTGGTAACAGTTTTGAAAAATATATAGGGTCTAGCACAAATAATGCCCCTTTTTATTATAAAACCACAAGTATGTAATTTTGTAACATAACCATATCACACTCAAGCACATCATATGAAATTTTAGGTAAATCATTCAAATTAAAACTATAAATTATTATACCCATATTATTACCCTACCAACTACATTCAGGCAAGCCTGTATATATAATTTGGAAAAACTGCACATTAAGTATGGTTAATGTACATTACTAACATTTAGTATAAATAAATGCCTAAAGAATAACTTTTCTTTTTAAGGTGATTGGTCTGTGCAGTGCTGGGAATTATAAGACATAGTTTATGAGCAAGGATTAAACTTTTTTATTTTTAGGTTTTTTTGAGGGGGTGTGGAATATATTTTTTCAAAGTCTCTTTGTAACTTCGATTAAAACTCTGATATTTTGAGATGTAGCCATCAATTATATCTTTATCAAATGCTAATAGTGCATTACATCATGGGCCTAGAAGCCAAAATTATTGCCTTTTTTTTCTGTAAACGGACACTATTACTGTGTGTGGGTTTTGGGGGGCTTTTTTTTTTTTTTACTTTGACCTGATCATAATTTATTTAAAGGAATAGGAGAAATATCCCACAAGTTATGCCTGGCTTAAAAAAAAAGATTTATTTTAGGGAAAAAGAGAATTACTTTTTAGTTTGTGTCTTCAGCTATATCAAAATTAAACATTTCAGTATTTTGACCTAGTGATTCAGCTGCTGGGAATATACCCTAAGAATCCTGAAACACCAATTCAAAAGAACCTATGCACCCCAATGTTCATAGCAGCGTTATTCACAATAGTCAGGTGCTGGAAACAGCCTAAGTAAATGAGTGGATCAAAAATACTGTGGTACATTTACACAATGGACTACTATGCAGCAGAAGGAAAGAAAGAACTCCTACCCTTTGCGACAGCATGGATGGAACTGGAGAGCATTATGCTAAGTGAAATAAGCCAGGTGGTGAAAGACAGATACCATTTGATTTCACCAATACGAAGAATCTACTGAACAAAATCAACTAACATACAAAATAGAACCACAGGCATGGAAACATGGAACAGACTGACAGTGACCAGAGTGGAGAGGGCAGGGGATAAGGGTGGAAAGAAGGGGAAGGGACTAGACAAAGTATTGTATGAATGACCCATGGACATGGACAACAGTGTGGGAATTGACTGTGGGAGCTGGGGGTGGGATAGGTGAAGGAAGGCAAAGGGGGAAAAATTGGGACAACTGTAATAGAATAACAATAAAAATGATTTAAAAATAAAAAAGAAATTAAAAATTAAACATTTCAAATAAATATATGTAATCACAGAGAAGCAAATGAGCAAGTGCTAAAGCATTTACCATCTTAATAGTGATGTTTTATTCCTGTTAAGGAATTTACAGTTTTAACAGAATGTTGATTTCAGTCTAGAGTGTTACTTAGTTTTGATAATTTATTTACTTAAATAGATAAAATGTCATTTGAACATACACATAACTAATGTTTTAAAAAGGAATAGTATTTTATTAGATAATACTTTTAATGGAAATATCAAATGGTAATTTTCCAAGTTTGAATAAGGGAGGGTATAGGTACAAATCCTGGTTTTGTGAGTTGACTTTGCACAAGGCTGGTGTTTCACCAACGATATGTATGATGGCAGAAACATCTGTGAAATTATTCCAGTGTGTAGAGTACTTTCAGGTTTGTCATAAATATGTAGAAAAGTAGTTTTACTCCTAATTTCTCAATTTGTACCTCTTACTCTTTACTCAAAAGGTTTCATCTAAAGAGGACTGGTCTTATAAAAGCAGATTTTCACTTCATCGACAGCATCATGAAAATGGTAACAATGAAATGCTTCTTCAGGCTGGACTTCATTTCAAACTCCCTCAAAGCACAGACCCATTACGTGCATTCAAAGATACCATTTACCTTACTCAGGTAAGGCATTTTCATTCTGAAGTTCCAAAGTTTCCTGCAGCTAACATAAGAGATCATATAAGTTTTGTAAACCTTATGTGGTGAAAACTATTTTTTATTTTACTAATTAAGGAATTTATCTTCTTCAAAAGAAATCTGTGTTAACATGTAAGACCTGAAATAGTTAATTTTTGGCATGTGTCTTACAAGAATAGCTCAGAAAGTTGTACAAAAAATTGTGCATTAAAATGTTTCCCAGATCAAGATTACTATAATCTTCCAGTGACTAAGACTGTAGCAATTCCTAAGGATAAAGTGGAACAATGGAACATAATAGAGTCCTGAAACAGACTCATCCACAATGTGGTCACCTGACTTACAGACGATGCCACTGAAATTTCATGGGAAGGGACAGTCTTATCAACGAACAGTGCTGCATCAAGTGGGTATCTGTGACTCCACATACAAAAGTTAATTTGATCAGTGACTAAAGATTCAACTGTGAAGGATAAGGCAATAAAGTTTCTAGGAGAAAACATAGGAGAATACTTCATTAGCTTGGCACAGGGAAAGATTTCTTAACAGGACATAAAAACTCTAACTATGGAAGAAAATAATGATAAATAGGACTTAATATTAATATTATGGACTTTTAATTAATATTATGGACTTTTGTATGTCAATGGCACCATTAAGAGACAGAAAAGGCAAGCCACAGATTGGGAAACAATATCTGTAATACATCTATCTGATAAAATATTTATATACAGAATAAAGAACTTCCATAAAGCAATAAGAATAGACAGATAACCTATTAAAAATGGACAAAAACCTGGAACAGGCACTCCACTGAAAAAGATATCCAAATGGTCTGTAAGTATATGAAAATGTGCTCAATTTAATTTTTAATCAATGAAATGCAAATCAAAGCCATGCCAGGGTAACTCCACACAATGTAATTTTAGCACAATGGTTAAAATTAAAAAGATTGACATTACCAACTGTTGGTGAGGAGGTAGGACAGCTGAAACTTTTCAATAATGTTAGTAGGAGTAGAAATTAGTTTAACTACTTAGAGAAATTTTATGACACTTTCTACCCAAGCTGAACACTTGTTTACTCTTTGAATCAGTATTTCTACTTCTAGCTGTGTACCCAAGAAAAATGAGTGTATGTATCTGTCAACAGACATCTAAAATAATACTCATAGCAGCTTTATTCATAATAGCCCCAAATCAGAAACAACCTAGATATTCTTTAACATAAGACTTCAAATTATAGTGCTGTTTATACAATGAATACTCACAGCAATAAAAAACATTGCATTACTAGCATTAACTTGGATGAATCTCACAGGCTAGCAGTAACTTGGATGAATCTCACAGGCATTAAGGTGAGCAAAAGAAACACCGAAGTTTCAGTACGGACAAAATGAATCAAGATGGTAGAGAGCGAATTAGTGGTAAGCCTTCCTGTGGAGTGGGATGGTGAACTGCACATAGGAGCAGATACAAGGAAACTTTATGGAATGCTAAAAAAGTTTTGTATCTTGATCTGGGTGTTGGTTACATGGATGTAAATGTATGTTAAAAGTCCCTGAGTAGTATACTTAAGATCTGTGAGTGCCACATTTTGCACCTTACTGGGCTATTTTTAAAACAGCTCTATTGAGATATAATTGACATACCATAAAATTCACTTATTTTAAGTGTCCAATTGAATGATTTTTACTATATTTATAAGGTCTTACAACTGTCACCATAATCCAATTTTAGAACACTTCTTACATCCCAGAAAGATTTCTTGTGCCCACTCACTCTCCTCTTTCTTACCTTTAGCCCTAGGCAAACATTAATCTGCTTTCTGTCTCTATAGATTTTACTTTTCTCAATATTTCTTATAAATGGAATCATGTAATATGTGATCATTTGCATTGGGCTTTTTTAAAAGTGAGCATAATGTTTTTGAAGTTTTTCTATGATTTAGCGTATATCTATACTTCATTCCTCTTTCTTGCTAAATGGTATAATCTTGTACGATATACCATTTTTTATCTACTTATCAGTTGAGCCACATTTGGATTATTATGAATTTTTGATTGTTATGATAATACTATGAATACTTACATATAAATCTTTGTGCACTTATTTTAATTTCTCTACGGTAAAAATATATGAGTGAAATTGCTGAGCTATGTGAGAAATTTATGTTTAATTTTAAGAGAAACTACCAAACTGAATTCTGGATAATAATTTCATTTGAATGTTTCCACTTTACTTTTTTGTTTGCCTATTTTATTTCACAAAACTGTGAACTACATAAGACTATATTAAAGCCACTGCTTAATTATTCGATGTCTTTGCCATTCTTGTTTCAAGCTCTGAGAGAGAAATAGCCTAATCGCAGCCACATGAGTTGATCTGAAATAGATCACAGGTTTTTGTCAAACATGATTACATTTAAATTTTTGCATATTAGTACCTAAAAATTTGCCAAACTTGAGTTTGTAAACTAAACTCATGCTTACTACCCTCATCAGTTTTCTACTATATGAGAATACAAAGTCCCAAATGGAAACTGAAACAGAAAACTGTAAGCCAAAAAAAAAAATACCCTTTGTTAGAAAGCAAAAAAAAAAAGTGGTTAAGAGAATTTCAAAGTTTCAATCATAATCTTATCAGTGAGGGAAGTTTTGCCAATGTGATATTTAATTTCTGAAATTACTTCATAAAACACAAGTTTAAAGATAATGTTGGTATCTGTCCCTTTTACAGTGTTACACTTCATTTTTATTAGTTTTCTATAACCAATATTTTAGTAATTTATACCAATCAATTACTAAATTTACCAATATACTAATTTTAGTAATTTAGACCAATATTTTAGTCTCACTTTTGATGTATGAAACAGGAAGATCTTTATTAGTGTGTGTGTGTGTGCATGCACATGTGGTGTGGACCTTTTCAGCTGTTGTTTTTCATGCTGGCTTTCCTCCTCCCAGCTGTTCGTTTTATGACTGTTACTTTCTTCTATTTTCTCAAGACCCTATTCGGAGAACTGACAAAAATAATTCTTTCTGAACTCGTTGGTATTTGAGGTAGTTAGGGACTGTGAGGACAAGTAGACTTACAGTTGCTGGGTTTTGTTGGTGATGGTATTGTTTGGCAATTTAGCACTGATGTCCTGTCAGGCATTGGCTCATAGCTGGCTTTGTGGATTCTACCTTGGAACTTTCCGATACACTGCATGGCATCTGAGATGAAAGAAATCAGAATTAGGATTATTTTGGTTTTTAGTGCTGGATTTTCTTGACTCAAAGAGAAACAGGAAATGTTGGGGTAAAAAGTTTTTTGCCCCTTGCTACTTTGATTTCAGATCATCTTTAATCTATGTAAAACTTTTCTTTGGTCCATTTTCTCTGCTTCCATTCCCTCTGCTGTTCTTTTGCTCATGGTCTGCCATATTGTTCAGAAGCACAAGGTACTTGCCTAAGTGCCACTTGTCAAGACATTGTATTAGGCATTCTTTTTCACAACTATCAGAAAAATCTTACCTGAGAAGGCTGTGCAGTAAGTTTCTTCAGATTGAGATCCTTCCTTATCTTCTCTTTAAGTTATCCCTGAAGGCTCTTACCTCTTTAATTCTTCTAGTATTCCAAAATGATCTTGCTTCCACCTTTCATTCTTCTCCTATGTCCCGTTGTGTTGTATCCCACCGAGTCTTCACACCAGACACACCCTCTTAAGCTGCGTCACACATACCTTTCTGCCTGGCTGAAGACTGACGGGCTGCCCTGACACATGTCAACTAACTGCTAAGTGACTTACTCTGCCAGAATGGCCTCTTACTAGGTACTGAGAGAGGAAGCTGGGCCATGACAGTCCCTGCAAACCCCTTTGCTTGTAGCCCCTCTAGTGCTCTCATTTATTCTTCCCATATTTATTGAGCATCTAATGGGGGTTAGATGCTTGGGGGCATGCTTGAGAGAGTCATATTCTTTAGAGATCCATTTTGTTGTAAGTCTTGATCACAAGAAGTTAGAAGAAAAGGGAGGGTCCAGGTACTGATGACAACAGTTACCCTTGAATAGCACTGTGATGTGATGGAACATCCAGGCCATGCTGAGCTTTTAAGATGGGGATAGGGTGCGGAAAGGAAGGGAATGAAGGTGAGATTACTAACAGAGTCTATTACATACTAGTACATTGTATTTATGTGCATCATGTACTTTTATAGTCAGGCAGACAATCAGCATTCTTTGGGTGTGTACTAAATGCCTAGCCCTGGGCCACAAGGTGCTGTGCATACCTTCTCTTGAATTCTAACAACATCTCCAGACATCTGTGTTACTATTTTTGTTTTATATGTGAGGAAACAGAGGCTCAGAAAGGCTAAGCATTTTGCCCAAGTTATCAGGGCAATAAATGGAGCAGGTATGCACTTTTTAAACTATAATATTATATCCTATCACAATTGTGATAGGGGAATTCTATAGCTACTGAGGTATTTAATTGAATTATAATATCTATTTTCAGCACTGAAGTAAAACAGACATCAGAAATTTGGCACATTAAAAAAGGCCTTATTGGAATAATAAAGAAAATCAACAAAACCAAAAGTTAGTTATTTGAAAAGATCAGCAAAATTGAAAAACCTGTAGCTAGACAGGCCAAGAAAAAAAAGAGAGAAGGCTCGGGTTACTAAATCAGGAAAGAAAAAGGAACCATTACTATTGGCCTTATAGAAATAAAAAGGCAATAAGGGAATACTGTAACTAATTGTATGACAATAAGTCATATAACCTACATGAAATAGACAAATTTCTAGAGAAACAAACAATGGAGACTGACTCAAGAAGACATAGAAGATCTGAGTAAACGTATAACAACTGGAGAGATTGAGCCAGTACTAAAAGAAAACTTCCCTTTACAAAGATGGCTTTACTAATGAATTCTAAAAAAAACATAAGAATTAACATCCATCCCTCACAAACTCTTCCAAAAAATAAAATAGGAGAAACTACTTCCCAACTGATTTTTTAAGCCATTATTATCCAGATATCAAAACTAGACAAAGACATATCAAGAAAAGCAAACTATAGGTCAATGTCACTTATGAATATAGACAGGAAAAAACCTTCAACAATATACTAACCATCCAAATCTAGAAGCATATAAAAAATTTGTACACCATAATCAACTGGGATTTATCCCAGGAATGTAACATTGGTTCAACATATGAAAGTCAAACACCATGTTAGTAGAATAAAGGAAAAATAACCATATGAAGAAAAAGCATTAAGCAACATTTAATACACTTTTATGTTTAAAAAAAAAAACATTCAACAAACTAGGAATAAAGGAGCTTCCTCAACCTGCAAAAGAGCATCCATGAAGAACCCATAGCTAATATCATATTTAATGACGAAGATAGAAAGCTTTCTCTCTAAGATCAGGAACAAGATAAGGATGCCTGCTCTTGCCACTTCTGTTCAACATTGTTCTTGAGATTCTAGCCAGGACAATTAGGCAAGGAAATGAAATAAAAGGCATCCATATTGGAAAGGAAGAAGTAAAACTATCTCTCTGCAAATGACATGACCTTATACAAAAAGCAATGAAAAAAACCCAGCCTAGAAACCTGCCAGAGCTAATAAATTAATTCAGCAACTTTGTGGGATATAAGATCAATGTACAAATATCAGTTATATTTTAAGCAATGACCAATTTGAAAATGAAATTTAGTAAACAATACCATTTATAATAGTATCCAAAAGAATAGAAATACTTTGGAATATATTTAATCAAAAAGATGCAAGACTTGCACAATGAAAACTGTAAAACTACAGAAACGAAAGAAAAAAGAAACAAAAGAAAACAGTGGGTAAAATAGACATTGAAATTAAAAACTTTTGTGTATCAAAGAACACTATCACAAAAGTGAAAAAATAATTCACGGAATGGGAGAAACTTTTTGTCAAGTATTTAAAAAGAATGTAATGTCCAAAATATATGTAAAAACTCTTACAACTCAATAATAATAAAAAAGACAACTCAATTCAGAATGGATAAAGGATTTTAATAGATATTTCTCCGAAGAAATTGACCATTAAGTGCATGAAAAAATGCTCAATGTCATTAGTAACTAAGGCAATGCAGATCAAAACCACAGTGAGATACCTAGATAGTGGGATATCTAGAATATAGAAGTTAAAAAAATTAAAAATACATATAGAAAGAGATTTATTTCTTTTTAAGATTTTTATTTATTTATTTTGAGAGAGAGGGGAAGGGATGGAGGAAGAGAGAGAAACATTAATGTGTGGTTGCCCCTCATGTTCCCCCCTACTGGAAACCTGACCTGAAACCCAGGCATGTACCCTGACTGGGAATCAAACTGGTGACCCTTTGGTTTGCAGGCCAGCACTCAATCCATGGAGCCACTCCAGCCAGGGAAGGAGAGAGATTTATTATTGGAATTGGCTCACATGGCAATGGAGGCTAAGAAGTCATACAGTCTGTTAATCTGTAATATGGAAAAACCAGGAAAGCCAGTGGTGTAATTCAGTTTGAGCCTGAAGGCCTGAGAACCAAGAAGCCACTGGTATAAGTCCTGGAGTTTGGAGGACTGAGAACCGGGAGCTCCAGCATCCAAGGGCAGGAGAAGATGGACATCCCAATTCAAGAAGGGAGAGAGCATTTGCCTTTCCTCTGTCTTTATGTTCTATTTAGGCCCTCAGCTGATTGGATGATGTTCACTCACATTAGTGAGGATGGATCTTCTTTACCAATCTACCAAATCACCAGAAACATCCTCACAGACACATCCAGAAATGTTTTACTAGCTATTCAGGCATTCTTTAGTTCAGTCAAATTGACACAAAGTTAAACATCACTGTAAGGATGTGGAAAAATTGGAACCCTCATATTTTGCTGATGGGAATATAAAATAGTACAACTGCTGTGGAAGAGTTTTTCAAAGGGTTAAATACAGAATTATCACAGGACTCAGAAGCTCTACTCTTAGGTATATATTCAAGAGAATGGAAAACATATGTTGACACAAAAATGTGTGCACAAATGTTCATAGCATTTTTCATAATAGCCAAAAATTTTAAACAGTCCAAACATGTATCAACTGATGAATGGATAAACAAAAGTGGTATATCCACACAATGAAACATTATTCAGCAATAAAAAGGAATAAAATACTGATACATGCTGCACTGTGGATGAACCTTGAAAACATTATGTTAAGTGGAGGAAGCCAGTCACAAAAGGCCACATATTGCATCCTTCCAGTCATATGAAGTAGACAAATCCATAGAAACAGGGAAAGTAGACTTAGTGGTTGCCAGAGGCAGAGGAGAGGCAAGAATGAGGAGTGACTGTTAACCAGTATGGTGTTTCTTTTTGGGGTCATGAAAATATGCTGGAATTAGTAATGCACGACCTGTAACTATACTAAGGCCAAGACATGGAAACACAGAAGTGTCCCTTGATAGATGATTGGATAAAGATATGGTGCACCTATATAATGGAATTCTGCTCAGCCATAAGAAAAGATGAAATACTGCCATTTGCAACAACATGGATAGGTCTTGAGAATATCATGCTGAGCGAAATTAGTCAGAAAAAATACAAAACCGATAATTTCACTCATATGTGGGGTATTAACCGAAAGCAACAAATGAACAAACAAGACAAGCAAACAGAGACTCACAGACATAGACAACAGTGTGTTGGTTCCCAGAGGGAAAGGAGGGTGGGGGTAGTGAAGGGTAAATGGGTCAAATATACGGTGATGGAAGGAGATTTGACTTTGGGTGGTGGGCACACATGCAATATACAGATGGATGTGTCATACAACCATAAAGTTTAAACCTACAAAGTCTGTCCAGAAGGTATCCAGCCATGTAATATGAAAAAGTCACATTTATTGAAAAAGGTATAGGATACAAGAAACATTGTCCCTAGGACAATGATGCCTCAGCTCCCTTCAAAGTAGGCACCTTGGGACCTCACACAGCTCTCCCAACTGCCATCAGTTTCCTCATCATATTCTCTGGAATCTCATTGAGGGTCTGAAACCTCTTCCCTTTCAAAGCTGATTTTGGTTTTGGGAAAAGCCAGTAGCCACAGGGTGCCAAATTTGTGCTGTAGCAGGGCTGAGTCACCTGGGTGATTTGATGTTTTGCCAAAAAACCGCTTGAGACATGATGCATGAGTGGGTACATTGTTGTGATGAAGCTGCCAATCACCAGTTGCTCATAGCTGCGACCTTCTGAATCATCTGAATAGTTTTCCGTGAAGGCAGGTTCAAGCTTAATACAAAATTTGATGCAGATTCATTGCTTTATTTGCTCAGTCATTTTGAATACAACGACCACACAGTACAGTGCTCACTCAGTGGTGTCTACCACACCTACTGACCAGTAGAGTGAAGTCATCATTGCTTACGCATTTGCATTCTAGTCCACTGACACTGACAATCAGGTTACATCAATGTCACTCAAACCATTCTTGTTATAGTAACAATGGCTGGATTTTTTCTGGACAGACCTTGTTTATAATTTTATTAACTAATGTCACCCCAATAAATTTAATAAGAAAATACAATGAATTAGAAACTTAAATTGTGAATTGTATGGTGTGAATTATATCTGTTTAGAAAAT